TCTTTCCCTCTAATTTTGAAAACCATTTTATCTTGCTGCCAACATTGCAAGATCTGAAGCGTTAAGACATTCTCTTGCGGATATGGAGGGAGGTCGAAAAACTGTACAACATTCATTGCTTTGAGCTCGTTTCTGGTGTCCTCGGATATTGAATGTCTCACCTTATCCAGCGCATCTCTAACCACAGATGGTCGACATCTACAGCTCATTGAACGTGGGTTCACAAACTTATAAAAAAATAAGACAATTCAACAAATATCATATGTTATTCTGGTGTGGTTGTATTATTGTATTATTGCAGTATTATTGTGGTAATATTTTGATGGTATTATTCATGTAGTACTAAGGTACTTTTACGGTGATATTTTGGTTATATTTCAGTGATATTATTAACGTAAAATCACGGTATTATTACAGAATTATTATGGTTATTGTTCACGATATTATTTGACTTTATGGGATTATTACGATTTTTATTTAACTTTATAGCATTATTAGGGTTCTATTTGACTTTATTATTTAATATAAGTCAAGTTTTATATACGAAAACAACATTTTTATTAAAAGAACTGCATTTTATCACCGTAATAATCACTATTACCTTGAAGAACCATAATGTTAGAAAATGAAAAAACAATCAAGAAATCCTAATAATCACTATTTAAAATAACTACATTTTATCACGGTATTATTTAGAAATGCATTTCGAAGAAGAACTGCATTTAGAAGAAGAAAAAACAACCAAGAAAAAAAATATTACCTTGTAGAACCCTCTTTAGCAACCTTCTTCTTAGAATCACTGGTTTTTTTCTTGGACTGCATTCTTGAAGGCTCATCTTCGATTTCCATTGCCAATGACTCTTCGGCTTCGACTGGCTTCGACTCTCGTCACCACTGTCGTCAGGTTCTCTTCGATTTCCATCTCAGAAGGCTCGGCTTCCATCTTGATCAGCTGTACTCTAGCGGTGAACTGAGGAATGTATTTCTACCGGCGAACGAAGACTCGAAACCCTAAACAAATGGCGAATGACAAAAGAGGTGGTGAGCCTATCGGTTTTCCTCAGAAGTTCTTTTTCGATAGATGTTACGTATTCTGTTCTTTCAATTAATTCGGGAAGTATCGGGTGAGAGTACAACCGGGTCCCACGTGATATAAAAATATTAAAATTTCAAAAAACCCTCAAATGTTACCATAATACAACCATACTGATACTCCACTAAATTAAAACATAATAAAACAACAATAAAATCACGGTAACACCGCAGGGCACAAAAAAATTTATCGCGGAGCTAATCACATTAATACCACCACAATAAGACTCGAATAATACCATAATACAACCATAATAATACATCACCTCGATGTTAATAAACAGATAAGTTAATAATATGTCAATCATTCCGCAATAAAATAATATACTACATAACGAATAATAGATAAATAATACTCGAATAATTCACTAATAATACCACAATATTACAGCAAGTCGAATAAGCATAACAATACATATAACAATAACCACCGTTTAATACATAATATGCAACAAAGGGGAGGCGAGGCCGTTGACATGTAGATTCAGCTCCAACTCTGTTTGTTAAGCAGTCAAAAAATCATTCTCATCTATGATCAAAGGTTGATTGAGAGGAAGTTTCAGGCTGTTCGCACATCTAAAATTGACCGAGTTATATAATCTTATGACAATGGTGATGGTGTGATTTGTATCAAGTAAATTGTAATGGGTTAGCTAAAATGTGGAAACAGAATAAAATGTTATTGCAAGTTATGTTGTTCTGCACTTCTTAAGTCTCATGTGACTGGTGTTCCAACTGGTTCACCTGACGGAACACCATTCACATCAGACTTAAGAAGTCCAGAACATCAAAACTTACAATTATATTTTATTCTGTTTCCACAATTTAGCAAACCCATTATGACCTACTTGATACAAATCACATCTTCAGTGTTGACGTCAGATTATATAACTCAATCAACTTTAGATGTGCGAACCACCTAAAACTTCCTCTCAATCAACCTTTGATTATTGATGCGAATGATTTTTCAACTGCTTATCAATCAAGATTATATGAATCACAAAATAACTCCATCTCATTGCCTCCGAGAAATCAGGAAACTCTCCATCAACTAAAATGAATATTACATTGCTCGCAACTTTGTGTCAAATGGTTCAAAGAACAGTATTTGGCTTGCTCGCCCATCTTCCTCCTTTCCTGCATTCAATGATTTAAGTTATAGAAAAAATAAATAAGATAATAGTAAAATAAGTGTGTCTACTAAAACAACAAAGACAATAACACCATAATCACACGATAATAAAACCATAAAGCCGCAACAATAAAACTCTCTTCAACAGTACAATATCACAATAATAAAACTATAACAATAACACAATAACCCTACATAAACACCAACATCCCTCGTTTAAAAAAATGACACGAGAATACTGCAAAGATAATACCGTGTTAACACTATAAACCATTACCCCACAATAACACCAAAAGGAAGAATAATAACACCATAATCACACAATAATAAAATCATATAGCCGCAGGAATAAAATTCTCTTCAATAGTACAATAACACAACAATAAAACCATAATAATACCACAATAACCCCACAATAACACCAACATCCCTCGTTAAAAAATAACACGAGAATACTACAAAGATAATACCGCAAAGACAATAACACCATAATCACACAACAATAAAACCATAAAGCCGCAGCAAAAACGTCTCTTCAACAGTACAACAACAGAACAATAAAATCATAATAATATCACAATAACCCCACAATAATACCAACATTCCTTATTAACAAAAATTAGACGAGAATACTGCCAAGATAATACCGTGGTTACACTATAAACCATTACCCAGGCCTAAATGCAAGTATAGCATAAACAGTTACAACGACAACAACTTCAAATAAAATGAAAACCACTGAAGTCAACTCCGATAAACCCACAGAAATAAATTGTTAAACACAAGCAATAATATGTCAGGCCTATACCTCAGATAATAAACTAACCTCCGATAAACCCAAACAAATGCCAGAAGTATCCATAAAATAAAAAAATAAAACTTATTAAACCTATGATATACCTCAGATCTGGATGTCCTTCTCGTTGTCTTCGTCGAAAATATTCTCAACGAGGCTAAACTCACACATATCTGAAAGTGGTTGTCGTTCTCCTCTTCGACAGAGCAATCCTTTTCGGTAGCTCCAAACCCTAAAGTGCGAAATTATAGTGGGGGATAACCGGGAAAGGGCCTTATGCATTAAATTTTCGGGAAAAAGAAATATCGGGTCAGGTCGGGCGTAAAAAAATGACATTTTAAGGTGAAAATCCACGTGTGGCGAATTTTTATTCGGTACCGCATGTAGGAGTTCATGTGGTACACGTACCGAATAAATATTTTGGAGCGGGACACTTTGGGCTGGTCTCCCGCTCTGATAAGGAAAAAAAGATTTGTTTTCTAGTTGGTACATCTAATTCCATATATAAAAATTGAACTCAAAAGTTCAATTGTATATACTTTTACCACGGCTACATAAAAAAATTCTTTTATTTTATTAGGAAACAATAGAATTAATTCTTTATATGATTTAGGTTATATGTACATAATTTTACAAATATAAAATTAATAGTCTAATTAAATACAAATTTTTCTAAGATCTATATTAAGTGCTGTAATTATAAAAACTTTATAAAATATGATTGGAATTTGAGAAGTGCACAATATTAATAACAATAAAAATTGATGAATTTTTTTTTTTATTAAATACAATTCAATGTCACCATAGCCCATGAAATGATGATAAAAATATATAAAACTGGTGTATATTTCAAGAAAAAAGGGTTATTAATTTGATTATTATTTTTTTAAATTATGTATCTTTTAATGTCATTATTTTAAATGATGATAAATAAAATATTGGACATTATTGCTGATTTTACTTTTTTTTTAATATTAATTATTGAAATTTAATTTTTAATTAGTAGATTTTAAAAATTTACTCCATGTTTGCCTCCCGAAAGCTCCAGCGGTGATTCATCCAACAATCGAATCGTAGGAGAGGCTTTCAGCCTGGCCTGCCACCGACGTTGCCTGGTGAAAATTATTCCGTGCAGATACTGTATGATATGTCCGATCTCTACCGTTCATTACGACTTCGATAGGACCCATTTTCAATTTTATTTTTATTTTTTAAAAAAATTCCACTGAATAATTTTTGGCCCGGTAGACATACTTGAAACTTGTATCCGTCCCCCTTCTTTACCCTTAAATTTTCATTCAAGCTGCTCTGCGAAATATCTGTCCACGCTCCCGCTCCCACGGCCTTTTTCGTTCTTTGATTCTCAACTTACCTTTCTTGCCAATTTGTTGGTCACAGAGCTCGACTTACGAAGTGGTAGCTGGTCGGACTAATAATCGGAAGCGAGGGGGTTTCCTTGAAAACCAAAAAATGGCGTTTAGAGATCTAGCTCGAACTGGAGCTTCTCTTGTGAATCGCATAGTTACCAATTCGCTCAATGCGTCCAAGCAGGGCAGCTCTTATCTCCTACCGCAGATATATCTGAATTCTCCGATTACTTTGTTCTTGACCGAGCCCCAAACCAAAAAGATTTCTCAGATGGAAGGATGCAGAAACTCTGAGGCATTAAAAGTGGTTGCTTCTACTGAAGGGTTTATTTTCCCATGTGGTCTTCCCTTTCTCCGCTCCTTCACAGAGGATGGTTAGAAACTTTTTTGCTCAATTTAAATGTCTCGTTTCCCCCATTTATTTTTATCGCTTTTGTTCGAATTGGTTGTTTGGAATGATTCATTGTTTTTGTGCCGGACATTTACCTAGGTTTGAGCATGTTGAAACTTTAATGTTTTTTCCATAAAATCCGTCTGCTGGGGAATAGAAATTAGATAATATAGATAAACTTTAAGCTTTGGAATTCATGTATACCTTTTCCCCTGGTTACTGATTGGTGTTAGTCATTTTTATCGGAATTATTCTTAATGAATTTGTTGATTTGGCTGAGGAAAATATAGCACACTACTTTACTCTGAAATTCACTATTATTGCTCTTTCCCAAGACTTTATCATTTTCTCTATTAGACATTTCAGAAAAAGTCAGTTAGCCATCAGACTTAGCCCGCTTAGTGTTCCTAATCATGGCGGCCTTATGTTGATAGTCAACAGTTGTATATATATATATATATATATAAAGTTATGAACATGCCGACAAAAATTTATTAGGTGTATATTTTTTGCGAATGAAGCAGTTCTAAGATTGGTTGAGCCCTCTATTTAAATTTATGAAAATTTTGAATAATGAATGGTAGAGATCGAGTTATAATATCTAGATTTAGTAGTTATGAGACTTTTAATTTTCAATGTACATTTCTGGGTGATAAAGTGATGCATAGTTGTGATAATTTTAAGTACTAGGATCTATAATACAACAATATTGGTATAGACAGGGATATAACTTATGGAGTGAATTCAAATGATTATAATGAAGTGTCTCAAGATTACTAGATGATAAAGTTAAATTTTATTAAATTGCATTTAAATTTGTTATATTGTATGGGTTAGTCTGTTGGGTTATAAGTAATTTATTGATAGGTAAGTTGAGTGTGAAAGAAATTGGAATAGTAAGTTTGATGGTTGTCAAAGTGCTGGATTGAGAAATGTTTTTATTTGAGGAATGATGGCAACATGTTGTGAAGATAAGGTAGTGAAAAATAGATTTAGATATGTATTAATCTATAATGAAGGGTAGATTGTTTCAGTAAAATGTGTTGTACAATCTATTTTGAAGGATTAGAAAAAAAAAAATGATTGATTCTAGATTGCTTTGATAGAAGTTGTAGAAAAAACTATTTGAATAAAATATGTTGAACAACTCATGTAATACTCAATTTGGATAAATTGAATCGTCATAATGCTGACCCCAAATAGATGGGATAACGTTAATGATGATAATGATGAAGTTTTCTTTTTCTTTTATTTTTAAATGGTGAAAGGAAACCAATTAAATCAACAAATTTTCTTCTTTAGATGCTTGCCAGCTCGATGGTAAGTAGTGTAAAATTCATGATAGTTTGTGATGCATGAACAACACCATACATAAGAAATTGAAGAATTCTCTAATTCCACATCCATGCCCAACATCCAATCTGAAGTGTGGATTACAATCATGAAGAGTGTCCAATTTTAGGTTTTTTATCTTGAGTCTGTCAAGGTTTTTGTGTTAAAAATGTACAAAGTTATTTATGATTTTCAATCTGACTGACTCATGCTTATGTACTATATTTTTTTGTTCCTATGTCCTATGCTCCGGTCGTGAGAGGCCATTTTGTTTGCTGCTACATCATCGCTGCATGATATGAACCATGTATAGGCTCTCCGGAGGTGGACTTACTGGAAAATAAATGGTAAAAATGCCAAAATGCTGAAATTCTGTACAAGCAATATTGTTATAGATGTTAATATGTAAAATAGATAGAATACACAACATATGCATTGAAATATGATGCATCAAAGTAGATGGTAACACTACAACAACAACAACAACAACAACAACAACAA